TGCTTTCTCTGTGATTCCCTCAGGGAGAAATAGAGGTATCCAGGTTGGGTTTGCTTCCCTGAAGAAACTGCACTGCTCTGTTCTGCTCTGCACTCATCCCAGCAAATTCTCAATCTTGTTTGTTCAAGGCCTCTTCTCATTAGTGTTTCTGGGTGAGACCACCAAACCTCTTCTCTTCAAGAACATAAAATGCATGTAATTAGGCATAGTGGCTCACACCCATAATCCTAGCTACTCAGAAAGCTGAGATCTGAGGATACAAGCTAGCCCTGTCAGGAAAAGTCCAATTAAATGCCAAAAAGCCAGAAGTGGAACTATGGCTCAAATAGTACACAAAAGCTCAGATACAGCACCTAGGCCCTGAGTTCAAGCCCCAGAACCAGCACACAAAAAAAGAAAGAAAAGAAAGAAAGAAAGAAAGAAAGGAAGGAAGGAAGGAAGAAAGAAAGAGAGGAGGAAGGAAGGAAGGAAGGAAGGAAGGAAAGAGAGGAGGAAGGAAGGAAGGAAGGAAGTAAGGAAGGAAGGAAGGAAGGAAGGAAGGAAGGAAGGAAGGAAGGAAGGAAGGAAGGAAGGGTACAATTTGTCTAAATACTCCTACGCTGCTGGGTGTCGTAAAGTCAGAGAAGGACTGAAGTATCCAAAGAGCAAAGAAGTGTCTTACAGCTGGAGTTTGGCAAGGCACCTTCCATAGCCCTTTGTTTTGTATTGTTCAATGTTGCCAATTGTGAACCTCAGGGAGTGAAATCCAGAGGACCTGGTTATATTTCTAAGCCTCACTTGAGATTCTCAGAGCTCAAATAGAACTCCTCTAGTGTTGCTTAACTATTCAAAACCTTTGTTACATTAACTGTACAAAATATAAGTATCCTAATTTAACATACATAAATTGGACCAAATAAACGAAAGAAGAAAAAAGAAAGCTTTTAGGTGATCTACTTTTTAAATTGAGCATCCTATTTTAGTCTTCCAACCTAATTAAGAATTTGGAGCAGAGCCTCACATTACTGTAACTTCATTGCTCACAAAACATTATAATGATGTCACAAATATTTTGAGCCATTATCTTTTATTCTCCATTTTGGGAGAGGTGGAGTGGAAGAGAAAAAAATTAACATCAACCAACCCTCTCAAAGCTTCCTAAAACAAACATTAAACTCATTTTCTGTCTCGTTGGGCTGGCTACATCACTCTCCCTCTAAATGCATTTTGCTAACATACCTCCATCATTCCCAGCAACCACATGGAATTGGCTACTACAACTTCTTGTTCTTGTCTTCCTGTCTTTCCTCTTGACAGGGACAAAATGATGTCAACCTGGGACTTGGCAATTTGAAAATAACAGACCCCAATAAGAACCACTGCCCTCTTCAGAGCCCTGAAGTAATGTATACTTAGAAGAATAAACCCCTAATAAATCTTAATAAATAGCTAAAATGAATTTTGAGTTTATTTGTCATAACATTCTTTTTTTTTTTTTTTTTTGGTCCGGTCGTGGGGCCTGAACTCTGGGCCTGGGCGCTGTCCCTCAGCTCTTCAGCTCAAGGCTAGCGCTCTACCACTTGAGCCACAGTGCCACTTCCGGCATTTTTCTTTTTGCTTATGTGGTGCTGAGGAATCGAACCCAGGACTTCAGGCATGCAAGGCAAGCGCTCTACCACTGAGCCACCTTCCCAGCCCCTGTCATAACATTCTTTGCAAGCTATCTGCCTTGTTTACATTTTGAGAAAAAAATGCAGTTTATTATGGAAATCACATACATGCTCTGCAGTGCTTTCCCAGAGAAACTGAGACTAGCAAGACAAGATTTTCCATTGAAAGATAACATATAAACCCGTTCTGCTCACTCAGGGAGGAGCAGCCGCACGGCTCTCCGTGGCCCTCTGTGTGCCATCTGGATGCAGTCTTTCCTTTCAGGGACCTGGAGTTTCCTGGACCAGGGACAAAACACATTTATTTCTGATGGACCAACACTGTCACCCAGTGGACAGACAGATCCACAGGCTGAAGCCTTCCCCTTGTTCTTGGCTTGGCAGCCATTGTTTGAATAGGACTTTGTCTCAGGTGATCAGCATCAGTGTTAATATCCTCTTACAGAGAAATAGGCCAATTTCACCTGTCAAACTCTGGATTCTGATGGGACAGATGAATAGAACTTAAGGAACACATATATTTTCATTATGTGGATTGATTTTTCCCCGTCCTAACCACAGTATATTTATAAGAAGCCAGGCTACAAACCAAGCAAGTTCACCTGCCAATACTCCTGCACCCAGGAGATCCAGGCAGTGATGAGCCAGGCATGACCTACGATTTCTCTTCCACACAATAGGACTGTTTACATGACAATTATGTATATTTCCGCTGAAATCTGACAAATAATTCAGCTTTGAGAAACCAGTGATTGAGCTACTCTCACTTTCTTTGTGTGTGGCATCCCTGAAGATGCGTGGATGACCCTCTGCTCCATCTCATTTATATAGAATCTGTTTCTTTGGCACATGTGACCAGATAGCTTGTTTTCTGTAAGAAGCTAAGAGTCACTGTGCCTTCTTGCTCAGTATTCATTTAGTTTCTTCTCAACTGGAACTCATTCATGAGCTGAAAGTATTACACTATACATCTCTTTCATATACCCAAAGTAGTGGGCTTGAGACTACCTTGTGGGAGGAGTTCTTGCAGTCTTCATTGAAAGCAGTTTCTAGCCAGGCACTGGTGGCTCACACCTATAATCCTAGCTACTTAGGAGGCTGAGATCTGAGGATCATGGTTCAAAAGCCAAACCCGGTCAGGAAAGTCCATGAGACTCTTTTCTCCAATAAACCACTAGAAAACCTGAAGGGGCACTGTTGTTCAAGAGGTAAGGCGCTCACCTTGAGCTGAAGAGCTGAGGGACAGCGCCCCCCCCCCAAGCTAACAATAAAATAAAATGAAACAAAATAAAATAAAATAATAGCAGTTGCTATTTATAGTGAGAAAATCTGTATTTCAATCTTTTTTTTTGTCAGTCCTGGGGCTTGAACTCAGGGCCTATGCACTATCCCTGAGCCTCTTTGTGCTCAAGGTTAAATGGAAGTGGCGCTGTAGCTCAAGTGGTAGAGGGCTCGCCTTGAGTTGAAGAGCTGAGGGACAACACCCAGGCCCAAAGTTCAAGCCCCATGACCGACAAAAAAAAAACAAACTATATAGACCACTTGAGCCACAGCATTACTTCCGGCTTTTTCTGGGTAGTTGATTGGAGATAAGAGTCTAATGGGGGCTGGGAAGGTGGCTCAGTGGTAGAGCACTTGCCTTGCATGCATGAGGCCCTGGGTTCGATTCCTCAGCATCATATAAGCAAAAAGAAAAAAGCTGGAAGTGGTGCTGTGGCTCAAGGTAGAACGCTAGCCTTGAGCTGAAGAGCTGAGGGACAGTGCCCAGGCCCAGAGTTCAGGCCCCATGACCGGACCCAAAAAAAAAAAAAGAGTCTAATGGACTTTTCTGCCTGGGCTGGCTTTAAACGGTAATCCTTAGATCTCAGCCTCCTGAGTAGCTAGGATTACAGGTGTGAGCCACCGATGCCCAGCTTGTATTTTAACCTTGACCTTCTACTTGGCTAGCTCCTTGACCTTGGATGAATTGCTTAAGTTTCAGCTTCTATCTCTTTGTCAGGATTAATATTAGTATGTACCTATCTTTCCATCTCTCCTTTGTTTACTATGAGGATTTAGATGAAAAAATACACAAGAATTGGGGCTGGGAAAGTGGCTCAGTGATAAGAGCACTTGCCTTGCATGCCTGAGGCCCTGGGTTTGATTCCTCAGCACCACATAAGCAAAAAAAAAAAAAAAAGCCAGAAGTGGCGCTGTGGCTCAAGTGGTAGAGCGCTAGCCTTGAGCTGAAGAGTTGAGGGACAGTGCCCAGGCCCAGAGTTCAGGCCTCACGACCGGACCCCCTCCCCCCACAAAAAAAACCCACAAGAATTACTTAGCATGGAGCCTAGCCATTTTTGAGTTAAAACTCTATTAACATTATCATAATTATTTCAATGTCAGCTGCTATACTTACTGTTCCTAAAATGTAACTTTCATGAAGTTACATTTGATTTTGTAATGTATCTGATGCATCTATTGACAGTAGACAAAATCATGGGGTTTCCTCCTTCTTCTTCTCCTCCTCCTTCCAAGATGGAAGGATCTTGAGAGAACATCCTGCCTGTTGCTTCTTAGAAAAATTACTTACAAGATGTTTGTGTTTGAACACAGGTCCTCTTGCTTGCTAAGTAGGTGCTCTACCACTTAAGCCATGCCCCCATCCCTTAGAGATGCTTAAAAAAAAAACACTGATATGCAAGTGTCATCAACCTAAAGAATCATTATTGTTTGAATCCTTTCAGGAAAATTCTAGTGAAGGCAAACCTAATTTACAGTGACCGAAAGCAGATCAATGGAATTAATGTTTATGAATTACCACTAAGGTGCAAGAAATTGAAACAAGTACTTTATACAATTGTCTTGCTGAAATTTTACAGTAATTACTTTTACAATAACTCTTTCTATTTTAAGAGACAAATCAGGCTTAGAAATCTGCCAAAGATAACACAACAAGCGTGTAATAGAACCAGGTCATGAAATCAGCTCTGTTTTCAATTCCCATGCTTTCTCTGCGCACTCAGTTTCCTCAGTTCAGTAGTTATTCTATTTTCAATTATGTACTTTTTATGTATTCTTAGTTCCTTACCTAACTACTATATAACCTTAAAAGTGAGAACTGATCTTACTACAAAGAGTAATCTCCACAACAATTCATTTGGCCACCTCAATTTTAACAATGTCCAATTTTTAACTTCATTAGATCAATAGGAAGGATAACTCAATAGCTAGGAAGACCTATAGTCAAAATTTATTGTAAAAGCTATGTCTGAATTCTTCAGCCTTCTCTGGACCCTATGAATGATCTCCAAATTAGACCAACATTACAAACAATAGTCCAGCTAGAACAGTGATCTATTTTAAAACACATACCAAAAAAATGCCTGGGGTGATATTGTGTCTTTGAACCAGAAGTGGACAATCACTGCCTGTAAATTTAGATGCTGACAAGATGTTGTATTTTAGCAACCGAAAGGGATCCAAATGACTCTAAAAGAAAAGAAAAGAAGTTTAAAAGATACTTCACAGGCAACTGAGTTTTTGTTCTACTTAATAGTATTTGTATTCTTTAGTATTTGTATTCTAGATTTTATCCTTACTATTGCTTCCATGGCTCATCAAAGGTTTGTGTATTGCCAATGGCTAGTGAACATTTTTGCTTCTTGTTACTTGACTCCTTTATGGCATGTGAGGTTAATTTGTATCACTCTTCAATTCTCTCACAGCCTCTGTGGCCACATTTTTTCTAGGTCTCCTTCCTGTGCCCCCAGGTCTTCATTAGTCTTCAGCAAATACATTTTTTTCTGTCCTTTACCTCTAAGTTTCTACTATACTAAAAAGTGTTATTAGAGGCAATGCTCCAGGCTATTCACTATCTTCACACATATTTCTATTATTTTTTGATGAGTAAATAACTAAACATCTACCGAAACTAGTGCTCTCCTCACAAAATTTGTAAGTTGAGATGTTGACTTCTTTTTTTTGGGGGGGGGTGTCCAGTCGTGGGGCCTGAACTCTGGGCCTGGGCGCTGTCCCTCAGCTCTTCAGCTCAAGGCTAGTGCTGTACCACTTGAGCCACAGCATCACTTCCAACTTTTTTCTTTTTGCTTATGTGGTGCTGAGGAATCGAACCCAGGGCCTCATGCATGCAAGGCAAGCGCTCTACAACTGAGCCACCTTCCCAGCCTGAGATGTTGACTTCTTGATCTTCCATTTTTCATCACTCAGGAAACCAAAACTCAGCATGTCCAACAGGACTATTTATTCTTTTCTTTAAATGTTCTTATGGTGGATTAAACATAGCTACAGATTATTTGCCACTCCATCAAGAGATGGATGCCATTTCTGATGCCCTTGAATCTAGTTTGGCCTGGGATAGGCATTGACCAATAGCATACGTGCCACTGTGAGACTAGGTATTAAGAGAAGTAGTTCCCATTTCACCTCTTGGAACATTCCTTCTTAAAACAGGCATCTTGTTATGCAGAATCTGGAGCAGGGCTCCAAGAGTCCTTATGAAAAGAGATCCCTGGGCCAATTGCCATAATTAAGCTCCAAATGGCAGTAGCACTTCCCACCAGCCATGTGAATGGGCTTGAATCCCTTGGCCTGTTCAAACTGACTTCTCCAATGCTCCATGAAGCAGGGTTAAGTACCATTCACAAACAAACAGATGCTTACTGGTTTAAGCTCTTATGTTTTGAGATAGCCACCTAAGCAATAAGACATGTTGAAATTCGTTTATTTTTATTTTTAGATGGCCTCTCTCTATGTAGTTCAAGCTGGCTAGAACTTTCAATCTTCCTGCCTCAGACTTCTAAGTATAGGATTCTAAGAATATGTCAAGCATCCAGCCTGAGATATTTCTTACCCTCCTTCTTCTAAATTCCCTATCTCGGGGCTGGGAAGGTGGCTCAGTGGTAGAGTGCTTGCCTTGCATGCCTGAGGCCCTGGGTTCGATTCCTCAGCACCACATAAGCAAAAAGAAAAAAGCCGGAAGTGGTGCTGTGGCTCAAGTGGTGGAGCGCTGGCCTTGAGCTGAAGAGCTGAGGGACAGCGCCCAGGCCCAGAGTTCAGGCCCCACGACCGGACCCCCAAAAAAAAAACAACTCTAAATTCCCTATCTCAATGAATAAACAAACAAATAAAAACCAGTGCTACTGTTCTCTAAATTGTCCAAATGAGAAGATGAGAGGTAAACTCTTCCCTACTTAATACTTCCAGATCTTATGGAGTCTTATTTCTGATGCAGCCTTACTTCATATGTACCATCCTTTTCTCACTTTCACTTTGATAATTTCACACTTGGTTAAGTGCAGTAACAGTTGTCCCTGCCACTCTGCATCTTTCTATCAAAATTATCCTTCACCACACAGTCTTTTCATGTTGTTTCTATGCATAAATCCTTTAACGAACCTTCCTACTTTTCAAGCAGAGTTCAAAATCCTTTCAAGCCTCACAGTCAGGCCCCTGTGAACACCTGTTTGCTGGCTTTCTCAATGTGATCTGTCCCACATCCTCTTGTCTTCCAACATGGAGTCTTCTAAAACATGGCAATGTATAGGAAAGTGCTCTCCACCTGAATCATACTGCTCTATACGATGCTTCCTGCCTGAATGCTCTATCTATATTTCTGACCCATGCTCTGGTTGTCACTTCACCATGCTCTGGTTGTCCATTTTCTGGATTGCCTTTTCCTTGAAGATAAGATTAGACTTGAATGAAATTCCAAAATCCAGTCCCTGTCACATTACCACATATTGTAAGACTTCAGTAAATGTATCTGTACAAGTAGTTCCTAGAAACCTACTCTTAAAAATGCCATCAACCACTCATATGAAGCCAGCTGCTTCTATCCTATCATCCATGTAGAATGTCAGAAACATACTGTCATCTTTGCCCTTTACCACATACTGCATGGTGAGAAGCTCACCTATGACTCCAAGTTCCCCTCTGAGGATGCCAGTAACAAGCTGCCCTGAAACTGTGGCACCAAGGGCTGCCATCACTTCCTTAACTGAGGCTCTATTGCCATTGCCCCTCACCTGTGGCTCCCTACCCTTCCTGAGTATCTCATTTCCACATTCCTGCTCAGAGTGATGTGGTCATGCTTTGACACAATCCAGGACTTTTGGCTTTCACATGCCTTCACCTGAGGAAGATCAAATACTAATATATTATCAAGCTAATATATTCATTAGAGCTATAATAAGAGTAAGGTGGGACAGGGAGTGGAACCATCAGGATAGAGAGAGCCATAGTGTGAGTGAGTCTAAAGAACTCAGACTTGACTTAAAGGATTATAAGAACACTGCAGTCATGTTCACATGGTAAAAAGAACACTCTGTAATAGGTAGAAATATCAAAGAGACCAAGACCAGAAGCAGAAAAACCAGTTAGGATAATGTAGAAAATCTGTGGGCAGTAATAAAGGCCTGCAGCAAGCAGAAGTAGTGGGGTTGAGAGAAAGAGACAGTCAGGGAAGTAGGCCACAGTGATAAAATAAAAAAAATAAGAGTTGTTTTAATGCATGGCTACGGAGACTGGTAGCAACTACTTGAAGAGTATTCAGATAAAGTAGTTCAGAGCTTAGCCAAGACTCAGTTAAATAGAATGATAAATTACTAATGTCTGCTATGGACACAGAATGGGAGAATATTGGCATTCTATTCTATTGGACTGGAAATATTCTATATCTTGATCTGGATGGTGATTACACAGATACATAAAAATTCATTATGCCATATGCCTGTATTAATCCATTTTGCCTTGCTATAACAAAATATCAGATATATATTTAAAAAGATTTATCTGGCTCATGATTTCAATACCTGGCATGCCACCAGAATTCCAAACAGCACTGGCATCTAATGATGGCCTCCCTGGCTATTTCACAACATGGTGAAGCATGAAGAGAATGGCTACATGTGGAAGAGGCCAAGAAAAAAAAAAAAAAACCTCAACCTTAAAACAATACATTTTCATAAGAACTAATCTAGTCCCATGGGACCTAATACACTCCCTTATGATAGTCATTAATTTCTGCTAGTGGTAGCATCACTGTGATCTAATTATCTCTTACAGGACCCTACTTTTAAAGTTTCTACCACCTCAATACCAATTTTCTAAGCACATGAAACTTTGGGAATAAAGTCATAGCCATTAAATTTTATAACTTTTATCATATGATCGTAATACCTCAATTTTGGAGAGTGGAATGTGGTCAGTGAGGTACAGTGGCTCATGCTTGCAATCCTTGTACCTTAAAAGGTAGAGCTAGGAGGATCATAGTTAGAAGCCACCCTTGAGTAAGAAAAGTCAGTAAAACCTTATCTTGTTTTCTTTTTATCTTTTTGTGTGGTGTTCTTGGGTTTCAAATCAAGGCCTGGGTACTGTCCTGAGCTTTTTTGTTCAAGGCTAGTACGTTATCCATGAACCACCGCTCCATTTTTGGGTTTTGGAGTGGATAATTAGAGATTAGAGGCTCATGGACTTCCTTGTCTGAACTGGCTTCAAACCAGAATCTCAGAGCTCAACCTCCTGAGTAGCTAAAATTAGAGGTGTGAGCCACCAGTACTGGCTGAAAGACCTTATCTTAAAGAGTAAAACATATGGCCAGGTGCTGGTGGCTCATGCCTGTAATCCTAGCTACTCAGGAGGCTGAGATCTGAGGATTGTGGTTCAAAGCCAGCTGGGGCAGGAAAGACCGTGAGACTCCTATATCCAATAAACCACAAGAAAAAAACAGAAGTGGCACTGTAGCTCAAGTAAAGCGCTCGCCTTGAGCTGAAGAGCTGAGGGACAGAGCCCAAACCCAAAGTTCAAGCCCCATGACCGACAAAACAAACAAACAAACATATGTTGATGTGAATATGTAATCAAAGTAAAGAGAGGCAAAAGGGTCAGAGATTCACAGTCTAAGCTGGCCCCAGGCAAGAGGGTGAAACTATCTGAAAAATAAGTAAGGCAAAGAATGCTGTTGTTCTGACTGAAGTGGTTGAGCACTTGCTTGGCAAGTATGAGGCTCTGAGTTCAGACTCCTCATTCTCCAAAAATATTGAGGCATTCATAATTTTTTATGTTACTGAGAAAATGTATTAAGATAAAGCATACAACAAAACATTTTCCTACATGTTATTACCTGAATGCAAGGCATGGTTCTGGATCTATTTAGTTCTCTGTATACTTTAGTTACTTCTTCGATATGCTTGTCCTTTTCCTTAGCTGAGAATACATAGACGATTATAATTTGATCTGTAGAGGCTAGCTGGTTGTTTATAAGGTTATCATACTCCAGATCTGTCACTTCAGGAATGCTGTAAGGGCTACATCGGCATGTATCCTCTTCCTTTCCACACAGTGTTTGCCTCAGGACTACAGGACAAATCAGCAGGGAACCAAAACATGAATCCTTTCTGTCATTGGGAAGAGAAAACCTGGAAATGTAATAGTGAGGAATCACATTGAAGAATTGTAAGGACAGAAAGAACATCCCTAAATTATGGGTGATCACTTTGGTACAACATTGAAATTTAATTCTAGACAGCATTTCATTTGCTAACATGCTACAATACTTATCAGTGCAATAAATATTACATATCAGCTCTGCAGGTAAAAGACTAAATAGTTGCTAGTAAGAATGACACTAGAACATTAATTGCAATTTAATGGCAAGGAGAATGTACACAAGGATGGTTTGTAAGATATTTCCTCTTATTCTCTCAACCATTGGAACAACTGAAGTCGTATCCTTATGGATGGAAAAGATGAGCCTCAAAAACTGAGGTGCAATCATTTGGCCAAAAGCACACAAATAGAAAAAAGAATAAAGTAAGACAAAGCTGGATTGGTATGTACACTTTTCCTATCATAATTTTCCCACTGGACATTATTGAAGATGAAATGCCTATAGCATACTTCTGAATTGGATTTTTAGGTTTATTAATAGACTGATAAGCCATGGTTAGAGAACAGAAATCTAAATCCTGGCTTGCCACCTGACACTCTCCATGTAACAGTAAATCCTTTGACTTTTTTTTTTTTTGTCAGTCATGGGGCTTGAACTCTTGGCCTGAGCACTGTCTCTCAGTTCTTCATCTCAAGGCAAGCACTCTACCACTTGAGCCACAGCGCCACTTATGTTTTTTTGGTAGTTTATTGGACATAAGAGTTTCACGGCCTGCCGGGCGCTGGTGGCTCACGCCTGTAATCCTAGCTACTCAGAAGGCTGAGATCTGAGGATCACGGTTCAAAGCCAGCCCGGGCAGGAGAGACCGTGAGACTCCTATCTCCAATAAACCA